TGCTCCCTTCAGGAAAACATGCTAGTAGATAGATTGCTGCCAGGGCCTAGAGGAGACCCACTCACCTTAAACTCCAACCAAGGCAACAGAGACAGGTTAAAGAATCAAGCTAAACAACAGCGAGAGGGGTACCATACCACCTTTATAAATCGTCACTTTCGGTCCATTAGCCTTTTGGCAGTCCAAAATTTTTCTCTTGTAGCTAGCAGAATCAATCACCAAGTTTGGAATTGAATTCGTCAGGTTCCCATGTGGGTTCCTCCCTTTTTCCGTTTTGGTGAAGACAAAAAATGCTTAGCACATGCATTGGAAGACATGGTCCCTGAAGCATTCATACAAATTAATTCACAAAAAAGATTCACCATGCATCCCTATTTTTTTACTGTAATAAAGGAACAGTCGTATGTAAAAATTGACTTCACTCTGTGATTTCATCATCGTGTAAAATAAAAGGGTTGTTCTTTCTTGTGTAGCTTAATTGATTTTCTCCATACTGTATGTAACACTTTAGAATGTGAATACAACCCTTTGTTTTGCGCAAAGTCTAGAACTAGCCTAAAACTCTGACTTGCTTCAACTCTTGGAGTAGCTGCAGTCAAGAATTTCAACTTAATTCAAGGCTTATGATTTGCATATATGCAATCCAAAATGTTATCTGAAATTTAGCCTCCATGGCATCAATTGGGGTTCCTGACTTTTCTTCCATGAGCCGAGACAGGCAAGAAAATATCTTAGTTGCTGGTAGTGGTAGCAAGAAAGTTAGCCTAGAAGTATTCCTTGGCCAATGAACATTCTTACAAAGTCTAGCTGTCCAATCTCTCTCCAATAATTTCAGAGAAATCTTACTCCTTCATCTTTCTGCCAAATAGGAAACTCTGCTACACCCATTAATAAGCTCTCAATAAGGTTGGTGCAGGAGCATTAATCCCTGCAATTTCATTGTCAACTACTATATTGTGCAATCAATCAAAACTCTCTTTCTTCAATGTTGATGGGTGACCTCACCAATGTTCCAAGACTCACGACGCTTTTTTGAGGAAATCCAAAATGAATTCTACACAGTTGATGCAGGAACCAGTACAGCCACAAAAGCTGCGTGTGGCATTCAGCAAAGCGCAAGTCATTTTGAACTGTTGTGTTGTGCTTTTTATCGGATGCCAATTCAATCATTCACCAGTTGTGAAAGAAGCTCTTGGCCCTCGCAGTAAATGCTCTGAAAAGGGTTTAGCATTTTTCGTACAAAAACATGCTTAGAACTAATCCAGATTGTGAACGCTCCTCCTCCCCGTGGTCGTCTAAATCACACATAACCTATTACTATTGTGTAAATATCCGCACTAACAATTATTATTTTTTCTTACATTTATACGCTTTTCTGATATAAATTCGTGTTTTCTACAAATTTACTCTCGAAATCAATTTTAACAGGTGCCCAGAGGACGCTCAAGCGTTGAACAGACTCGTTTATCAATCTGGCGCACCTAACCTTTCCTATAAATATCTTTGGCATCATTGTCGTTTCATATTAGGTAGCATTTTGGAAACAACCAAAGATAGAATCAGAATTACTCGCCCAAATAGCATGTGAAGAATGCAAACTATAATAATGTTTCGTGTTTTATCACTTCATTGTGTGTCAAACTGTCATATCATATGGATTATGATGAACAAATTGCTTCTTGGAAGTGGTTGCAATAAAAGTAAATAACTGGACCGGACAAAAGCTGTAGATCCTCTTGTCTTTACTTATTTGGAAGCAATAATTCAATAGCAGCAGATTGTAGTTGCCGACGTAAATAACCAAAAACAGCAGTAACTAACTAGTAACTAGGACACAGTCACTTAAGAAACAGCTCTAAATTATGCACATCAATAATTCAACAATTGACAAAAGAAGGGTATTTTTCAGCACTGCCAAGTTGTACCCAAATGAGTAATCAAAAGTAAGCGCCAAATCTGTATTCCCTAATTGTGAGCACTCAAACTGGCGGATGCTGATTAATTTTCGACATTCCAAATTCGACACTATATATATTAGTACTCTGAGTTATCCATGATTAGAAAATTGTCAAATGTTATAACATCTAGCTTGCAACACCGTTTATGAAAATGTTAAGAAGGGAAAAAGGATCATTGATGTTCAAGGCTGATGATCTAGCCCCTTGACACAGATATTTGATGTCCTCACACAAATGTAATCTCACTTTTACACGAGTCCTTTTTCCTATTGAAAAGAATCAATGGCAGTTTCCAACGTCTTCCTCTTAACGATTCAAATCTCTAACGTACCGATTACCAGTAAATCGTTTTATCAACTAGATCACGATTTGTCGTCGTTTTTACTAAAATCTTGAAATTCTTATAATCTTTCCCAGGCTAAGAGACCATAGATTGATTCTATCATACCACCTATGGCTATAATCGAGCCAACTTGAAGGATGGTGCAATATCATGTAATTTGTGGGCATGATTTTGGTACAACATTATTGTAATCCGAATCCCATGCATTTTCCTCGTGGGAAAATCAAAATATATAGCTGCATCAGAATTTGATTGTCTTGTCTACAGCACAGACCGACAAGTACCTTTGTCACCACAAGTAATATCTACGTCGTTCTCATCCTCTGCTGAATTTAAAGATGTACATAGGAGCTACAGCTTGGGCAGACTCTTGGAATTGAAGCACCCAAATAGGTCCCCAGTGGCAATAGTTGGGTTTGATGTCAAGAATTACTCCCTAGAATTCAGTTGGACAAATTCCAACCACACTTTTCCTCACAACCTATGCAGAGCCAAAACTGTTGCAGTTTGAAGGACCATTCTCTCTACCACACCAATCAATGCGCGTATTCAACAAAAGCGGAGGCCGCTCTTTTCACTGGAGACTACATGCCAGAATTATTAAAAATAGAGCATGTCAAAGTCACATCAACAAGTATATATATATATATATATATATATAGGGCATGTCAAAGTCACATCACCAAGTTTATATATATATATATATATATATCGAATAAATCTTATACACGTCAATTGGCTGGATGGTCTTGATTTGTGAGCTCCACTTTAGATTGTGCTTTGCACCGGAATTTTTTGATTACCTCTGAGTGTTAATCTAACTTTGTTGTGTTGTTTCCAGTAATTTCGATTGTTGAAAAAAATAAATCTTATACACATTGATAGCATATACATTATTGCCGTTAAATCTATGACATATATATAATAGCTGAATTTTAAATTTAAATTTTACATAATTATTAATTATCCAATGCTGACCATGCATACATTGTCAGTGTAAGAAAAATTAATTCATATATATATATATATATGTGTGTGTGTGTGTGTATGTATTTATTTATGTATATAAAAGCCGACAAGCTGATATCTTTTCTTTTTTTTTTTTGGGCAAGGTAGTTAGGGGTGGGGCCGTGGGGATTTTAATTAGGGATGGCAACGGGGTAGAGTTGGGGCAGGGACCCCTCCCTCATCCCCCGCCCCGCTGCCTACAAACTCCCCCCGCCCCCGCCCCATCCCCCGTCCTTCGCTCCATCCCCCCGCCCTGTCCTCCCCCATCCCGTTTTCCCTGCGGGACTAATAAAAATTTGTTATATAATTTTATTATAGTTAAATTTTAGCAAATAATCAAGTACTAAAATATCAACACATCATCAAATTATTATTCATTGTAATTTTACAATTGAAACTTATAAAAATAATCAAACAAAACTTATTTGAATACAATCCAATATGATGAAATAAATATAACTAAAATAGTCAAGTTTTCACTATTGGTACAAATACAATCACTAATTTATTATTGTGCTTGTGCTTTTTTTAAGAAAAAAAATGTTATTGTATTAAGTGTAATTAGGGATTTAGTATAAATGTATTAGTAAATTTAGTATAACCAATTAATAATTTGTATTAGTACACATATATAATTATTAGTATAATTAATAATATCAATTATATTATATATACTAATAGACATCATATAATACATATAACTAATAATATTATTATCATAAGTTTGTAAGCAATTAAATTATATATTATCTATATAATTATATACCTATATATATTTTATATATTTATTTTTTTAAAGCTGGTGGCGGGGCGGGGGTACACACCCCCGCCCCAATCCCCTCCCAATTAAACCCCCGCGGGGCGGGTGCCCGCGGTTACCCGCTCCCATTGCCATCCCTAATTTTAATTGTGTGTACTTAGGCGTTTACTTGTACTTTTAGATATATTACTATTAAGGTGGCAAATTCGGTAAAATTTTCATAAACGGATTTCTTGCTTTTTTTCTAAGGATGACATATATATATATTCCCCGAAAACATTTTACTAGAATAAAAGGTGAGTTAAGAAACTTTGGAAAATGTGTGGATTTTAGATTGTGCACTCTTCATTGGAAGATTTTGCTTTGGAAGATTTACAGAAAAAGCATTTCCAGAATAAACTCCATGGTACAATGGCACGAGGATGGGCTTTAACCAAGTCGGCTGCGGCAACCAGAGCAACGCAAATTGGCAGCAAAAGAGATGCCCTTTTTCTGTTTCATTATTCAGCATTCAAACTTCTAATAGTTCTATCACCCCGCCAAGTACATAGATGCTTCTTGTCGTACAACTGCCTTTTCAACTGAATCTTCAAAGCAAATAAAAAATTCCCACGTTCTTGGAGAAATGTTTGCTCCAAAAACATTGGAAAAAAAGAAAGGCTTCATTGTTATTGAATTTATAGGAACGAAACTGGAAAGTCCAACCAAGGGTTGCTGGTCACTTTTCCTCGAACCCAAAGGCAACAATTCCGCCCAACTAAAGAATAAATCAGGAAGGAAGTACCCACCAGTGCCCGGTCTTTCTACATCTTTTACTGATTTTATTGATAGGGCTCATCATTGCACAATTGTGTAAGAAGATAACTGCTTTTGCTTCTGGATTTGGGGCAGGGACGGTCCGTCTGAGTAGTTCACGGCCAAAATTTGGCCCAAAAAAAATTTTACGGTCCAAATTTCATCTTGTATCTCATTTTTAACAATATGTATAAGATCCACAAAATTTTGTTCTAAAATTACACGTTGTTGAAAGTAAGTTACACCATGTATAAATAGAGTTACGCCGTGTGCAAGATGCACACAGGTGCAACCGTTCTTGCCCCTGTCCCTTTGTTTCTCTTCTGTTGCACCTCTAGGCGCCTCTCAATGAAAGTATGCCTTCTGTAGGGGGTTAAAAAAAAAAACAAAAAATAACTCAGAAAAATTCATCAACCTTTCAATTAAAATCAACTATACTTGGTTCAGTTTTGAAAATTACTAGAAACAAATCGTATTAACCACCTTGTGATCCTAATTTTAGAGTTAAAAAACACATAACTGAGAAGGTAACTTGACGGCATAGATAACAAGAGCAATCCCTTTATTCTGTTAATTAAACCATATATTTTCTTTCCTCAGAAAGAAAAAACTTTTTAATTGAACAAAGATACAGCCAATTCCTAGCCTACCTAGTTTTTGGCTTCACCCCAGCTCGGACCACTAAATTTAGGCTTTACTTTGGGGCAATGCTTGTAGGTGAGCGGCCTTGTCTCACCCCAGCCCTATGATGTACTAGTATTCTGCGTGGCCGTTTCTCCCTCTACGTTTTTACTGAACTCCCAAAAGGAGAGGGTTGGAGTTGAATCTTGACAGACACAGAAATGGAAGAAAGTTGAACCCGAATTTGCATTTACTATGTCCCATTATCTAAAAATCATCCATCCAATTGTTAAGTTCATCGACGAAATGTAAAGGATGACATCGACAATTCAGTTGCAGGGAACACCCTACTGACCAGTGATAGTTGGAAGTGTGTCAGGACAACAGAATTGAGAGAGAGTTCCTACTGCAGCTTTGAACTCTTCCCACCAAGAGTTGAGCTGCTCTTGGGTGAATTCTCATGCTCAATAGCTAGCTAGACCAGTCATGGCTAAGCACAATTAAGCTGAATATGGAAGCGGTCTCATCACACACGGAAATATCCATCATATTCACTAGAAATGATAAACAGAATCATATCAGGAGACACAGAGTCGAGAGATTCAAAAATAGACACACAATTTGACAGGCCTTAAATTTCCATGAAAATATGTATAAAAGTACTTAGATTTGTTTAAAATCAGTAATCAGGATCTGATGAGGCATCTCGAAACCGTAATCATAACATTTGAACTTCATATTGAAATTAAATTATCAAGAATTTGGTCAGTCTGAAAAGGACAACAATTTACAACATTGGTGATAGCACTGAAAACTGAAAACCTTATCTTAGATTTTTCCCACCCTCCACTTAGTCCACACAACTATATAAGTCAAAATTTTGTAGCTAAAATCAGCCTGGAAATTACATAAAACAATCTGAAATCTGAAGTAGAGAAAGAACAGGAAAAAAGCACTCAATTATGAAAACCAACACCACATATCTGAGGGTATTATGCCTTAATGTCTTCTACCTCTGTTCCGCTTAGATGCAACCACAGTCCATCCATCTTCTGTTTCAGCTGGTTCCTGGGGTATAGACTCATCCACCATCATTTCTTCCCTATTCATGACAGAATGGGATTGTGGAACATCGACCACCATCTTTGACGAGCCATCATTTGGCCCATTACCATTATCACTGTCTTCATTATCATCACTATCGCTGTCGCTGCTGGCCTGTATCTAAGTAAAAAAACAGATGGGAATGAATCCAAATGGAAAGTGTACTGCAGATTCTCAATAGCTTCTTAAGGACTGAGATTTGAAATTCTTTAGTATAAGAAGAGTCTCAACTGCAGATTCTCAACAGCATGTTAAGGACTCTCCACTGCAGATTCTCAATAGGATCTTAAGGACTGACATTCAAAACTCTTAGCATATGAAGAGTCTCAACGCTGTTAAATACACTGGATAATTGTCATTGACAAAACATTTGTCAATCAGCTACAACATCATTACCTGTGTAACATGGGTGGCTGCTCCTGGTGGAGGATTAGTTGCCCTAAGCCTTTGTATGGAACTAAAATCACCTTTCAAACATTCTTCATGCATAAACATCAATTTTTCAGCTATCTGCTTAAAGCAATTCAGTGACAAAAAATAAAAAATAATGTTAAAAAGTGCCCACAAAAGTGGGAAACCATCAAGATAGAACAAACCATGTTACATCAGTAAATATGCAATTGATATCATAATCATAGCTGTCATCCAGAAAAAGAAGCATGGTTTCCAAATATTCATCCCCAAAAGAAAATTGTATCGGCCTTTTATGTGATTGGTCATAACTATAGTGATTTCGCTACTCGTATTTGTTTTTCCAATTAAAAGATGACTAATTCTAATTTAACCACCATATTTTGGTTCTAGTAACCTCCCTATATGAACTAGAGAGTATTTGTTCATTAGAGTTAGTGCTTCTGCTGATGTCAACAAATTCTTAAGAATGCAAAGTAATACAGAACAAAGTCCCATAATTCCAAAAGGAGAAGAAAACTCCCTTCAAATTTGATAAAATCTAAGGTGGGTGTGCAATTCAGCCGATCACCAAAAGTATCATTTACCCACAAGTTCAACATTGAGATAGACATTGCTGGCTCTAGCAATTCTTTCTGTCCCTTTATAGTAGAAAAAAAAGTTGGACATGATATGGTATAGATGCACAATGAAAATGAAACTTTTAAGCAATTATTTTTTTCAAGCCTGTTAAAGCAAAGGGGATGTTCAAACCATACTTAACCTTCACATCCTCTTTATTGCAAAGAGAAATTGAAACTTGAAAAGAATATAAAGCCAAAAAATCCACAATCATCACAAGCCCTAACACTGCATATCAGGTTTACCATTTTGAGAAAACCCTGGGTAATCAAGGGTTAGACAAGATAGGCTTTCTAAATTTCAGAATCCAGAGCCACTATAGTTCTGAGAGGAATTGCAGATGCTGATTGTCATCAAGCACATTTCGGACAAAAAACTTAGAATCCCCAAAATCAAGTCAAATGACCAAACAGATAGTATTCTGAATACCTAAAAAAATAGTTTAACATCTATCCTTGGCCTTGCTGCAATATTAAGGCCATGCATTATTATAACCAGAACAATATGGCAGGGATTGAAGGAAATCTTGATGGTGATCTAAATAATAGAAATCTCTTTCCCCTTGTTCTTGTCTATTTCAGTGCATATATCTTGAAACATACATTCTCTGTGTTCATATATCATGTTTCATAAGACAGTCACATGCAAAAGGAAAGAACACAAGTTACAAAATGCTTGCTTTACAAGATCCCAAAATTCCAGCTTTGCTGTTTAACTAATAAACTCAAAGCAAAAAGGTTGCAATTGTCTAAAAGAAGTATACTACAATCTACATCTCTGCATGTTAAATGAATATTGATTAGCATGCACAGCCAGCTTCCTTTCCCTGATTTACTAGCAAGGTGTGGGTTAGAAAATCATCCTTTTATCTCTCATCATTCCCTTCAAACCCCAACCTCCAGTAAAAGGCAAAATAAATTACAAATCCCAACTCCATTAATCAGCTTTTCCCTCCTGTCCTCCTGCTTCAAGAACATCTCTAGATATGTTTTAGTACAGAGCCTCCAGCACTCAGACTGGGAAAATTTTTGTTTTTCTTAAAAAGCGTCATTTATAAGTATCTCAAGCCCAAACCACCTGTCTGATCAGTCATCTAATAGTGGCAGCAACACTTATTCATGCAACTTCAAGCTTATATAGGAAAACAGAATTACACCGAATGATGACTAATAAGCGCAAGGAAACAATAAGACCACATCACTTCAACCCTTGACTTCAGCTTGAATCTAAAGGATCAAATCCTTTAGAGGAAACAATAAGGAGGATGCCAATTCTTAAAACCTATTCAATTGATAATATAATTGAATAAGTGCACTATTTTTTTTCCCTTAAGAAAGGAGGAAGGTACTAGGATAAAGAATACTCTCTTTCAACCTCGCGAAAAATTCTTAAGAGCGCTTCAAGCCTTGAGCCGTAGACTTGTTTAAAAAAATCTGACATGCCAAGGGTTAATATTAACTGAGTACTAAGATTGAACAGAGGCAATTATCTTGATTTGAGAAGCAGTAACTTCTCAACCGTTTACGCGAACTAAAATCATTGCAGTGCAATAAACAAAAGCTCAAATCGACAGGCATCAAACAGTTTAGCTGAACTGAGTACCTCCTCTATACTGCCATCGGCAATCTCAGTACCAAGAGATAGCATTGAATCATCAAGAAGATCCTCCACGTCATCCATATATACTCTCTCTGAACACCCGAATTTCCCAATAAAGTTAAAGAAAGAGGAAAAAACCGAAAAAATCAGAGAAAACTCAAGCAGACAGAAATAAACAACGGAAAAACGCAAGAATTTGCTGAATTCATTTTCAAAGAAGAAATTTAAAAAATTTAACCGAAACTGAAAACCTTTGGATCCAGCAAGAAGTGAAAAGAGGTCGAGTTCGAGTTGCTGGGACTTAAGACGAGACTGGGGGCCACCCCACTCGCTCTGAACGGCCATTTGAAGTGCTGTCCATCGAGAAAGCAGTAAATTGATGCCTTGTTGGAACTCAGCCGCCGCCTCCCCAGTCAGCTGGGGAGCAGCAGCCGCCGATGACTTGCCGGTGCCGGTGTTGCTTCGGTAATTGGAGTCCATTTTTCGGTTTAATTCCTAGTGAAACCCTAACCTCTGTTGCTTATTGTTTGGAGTCATTTTTCTTCTTTCCTTTTTGAAGAATGTTTTGGACTGCCCTTTAATTTTTCAAAACCCTTATGGTTCTGAATAAATAAATCCAAAATCATTCCAATGGTACCGTATTTTTCTAAATACAATAAAGTAAAAATATATAAATTTCAAAAAAATATGAACACTATCTAATTTTTATTTTCAAATAATAAAATTAATATTCAAGAAGTTGAATCCAATATTATTAACTCAAAAATTAACTATTATCGATCGTTTTGATTTATTTTTGAAACTTCAACTACATTATATACTAACAATCGAGGTGCTCTTAATGCATGTGCAATTCGATTGGAGGGAGATAGTTTTAGTTAAATAAGAATTGTATATCCGTTGTTGATAATAGTGATAAGAGTTAATATATAGTAATAGAAATAAGGATAAATTTGAAAATTCATAGAGTTTAACGGCTTACAAAGGCTTTATTATTGTAAAAATTTATAATTATATATACACGGATTTGGATAGAATTTAGTATAAATTTAAATTTGAATATGAATCATATAAAAAATTAGACCCTACCCAAACTCATAACTCTTAGATAAGAACTGATCCATTAACATGTCTGATCATACATCCTTTTTCTTATTCATCAAATAATCAAATTTACCATTAAAAGGGGGGGGGGGACGGGGGAAATTTCATATATTTATTCGTACCTTTTAATCCCTCAAGTTTGGAATGAAACATTTTAGAACCTCATGAAATTTAATTCGAGTATCAAATAGTTTTGTTTGGTTTTAAACTCTAAACACTCCTAAAGAGTCCCAGGTTGAATGTTATGGTGTTTAAATTCGAATTAATTTTTCCTAAAACTCTAGCAATTCGGTACGTTTATTGGTTGATTGAGTTCAAACAATTTTCATTAAACTAATTTGATTTATCTTTCACGTAGGTTCCAAGTCTTACGCTTTATCAAAAAATGCTCAAAGAATCAAATAATAAGAGTTAATTCTTGGTTGGGCTTGGTTGAGTTAATTGATTACTCAATAATATTTTGTTTGGATAGGGTATTATTTGAAATATTATTTGGAATAATTACTGTAGCACTTTTTGTGATGTGATGTATGTGAGATAAAAAGGTGATTGGTAATATAAAAAGGTGCGTTGAAAAATGTGTTTATAATGCAAGCAAAATATTATCTGAGATAAGTTTTGTATCCAAACACTCATTTTTAGTTGTTTTCCGAAATTTTTCCTTTTGAAAAAGTAACCATTTTCAAATTTCAGTGCATATTTTGCTAAGTGATCATTTTAGTGTCAAAGACTCTTTACAAATGTGTGAATTTACATATTTGGAAAGGGCTTCTTCTCGTAGCTTCAAGACTTCGCCAGTAGGCATCTTTCTTGCTAGTACTTTTGTCTGTTACATGAGAGCCTATGCAATAAAACTCAACAGCCAAGTAGCTAATTTGCTGAAGAAGAAGAAGAGAGGTGGAGAATATGTCGACTGAAAATGGATGTGCTGAGCCAAAACTGGTCACTGGAGATGCCGGTTACGTCCTTGAAGACGTGCCCCACTTGTCCGACTACATTCCTGACCTTCTGGTACGTAAAACTTCATGATTCTGCAAATGGAAAACCATTATTTGTACAATTATTTTTCAAGAATTCTATACCTTCTGGTACGTGAAACTTTCCTTTTTTGTGTTCTTGGTGTTGGTTTCAGACTTATCCTAATCCATTGCAAAACCATCATGCTTATTCAGTTGTTAAGTAAGTGTTTTAACTGCCCGCGACCATGCTATTTTTCTTGGTTTTTCATTGGTGTATGGAATTGATGTTGCAAAACATTTTGTTAATGTGGATGACAGCGTTACAAAAAAGGTAATGGTACTCATTTTGATTGAGATTATCTTCCTGATGAAAGCGGAAAATTATTTTCCTGATCATTTTGTTCTTATGTTTTTTCCTAATTCATCTACTTGTGCTTGTGATTGTAGATTGTTGTAGGCAGAAGTAGCCCAAGAGGGACTCATTTTCGGCGTGCTGGACCTCGTCAGAAGGTTTCTTTTTTTGGTTCCTTCTTCAATTTTCTTTCAAGAATAAGATTCATCATTTTGCTAACAATGTTGAACCAATTATATTATGAAAGCTAAATTGGCTTGAATTTTCCTCAGGTTTGTTTTGAATCTGATGAAGTTCTTGCATGCATCGTGACTTGTGGAGGTCTCTGCCCGGGTTTAAACACAGTGATCAGGGAGTTAGTCTGCGGCTTACATGACATGTATGGCGTCAATAGCATTCTTGGAATAGAGGTAAATAAGTGTTCAATCAATGTTGACAGGACAGATATTTCCGCAACTGATTTTTCCTTTGTAGCAGTTCGTGTTGGAGGGGAAGGACTAGGCTTCTTTTGTTTTTTCCTACTTCGTTTTGGTTCAATCCCACTGGAGGATGTTGAATGCCTGGAATGTGACTTAGTATGAATGTTCTTTTGTGATCACAGGATGGATACAAGGGATTCTATTCTCGGAATACTATCCCTTTAAGACCAAAAGTTGTGAATGATATTCACAGACGGGGCGGTACCATTCTTGGGACATCAAGAGGGGGCCATAATACATCAAAAATAGTAGACAGTATTCAGGATCGAGGAATTAATCAGGTATGGAGACTTGCCTTTCAATTCTCTTTTTTGATTTTTGTGGTTCCTTTTGAATTATGGCTTCTGAGAAGCAGAAAGCATGTTTAGAACTCAATACTTGATTTTAGAACTTCTAACTTTGCGGTGAAGATTTTCCTGTTTATATTTGTGCTCAAGATGTATGACACCGAGTGTATCAGGTTTACATTATTGGAGGAGATGGTACTCATAAAGGAGCTGCAATGATCTTCGAGGTGATCCAGTTTCTCGCTTTTATTGGCTTTGGCTGTGTGATGCAATGCTTCAGATACTCTCAGGCTGGAAGAGTTGTTTGTTAACCTGGATTATTTGCAGGAAATCAGAAGGCGCGGCCTCAAAGTTGCTGTTGTTGGAATACCCAAGACCATTGACAATGACATACCGGTACTGCAATACATTCTCGTCCCCTCTTCTGATACAATTGCGCTTTTGAGCTAAAAGGTTTACAAACGAAGTTCTTAGATCTTAAGCTTTACCTAATTCAGGTTATAGACAAATCCTTCGGTTTTGACACTGCTGTTGAGGAAGCTCAACGAGCCATCAATGCAGCTCATGTTGAAGGTGAAAGCATTGAGAATGGTATCGGTGTTGTCAAACTAATGGGACGTGATAGTGGTAAGTCTTCAACTCGGTAATTACAGCTTATAGTGTCTTCCAACTCCATAGGAACCATCCCTTCAATTGAACCATTGCTCTTTATGTGGCTGTCAAAAGTGACAACAATATCAGTGAACTTTTGAGGCAATGGTTGTTTCACCCCTGTAGGTTTTATTGCAATGTATGCAACTCTTGCGAGCCGAGATGTGGACTGCTGTTTGATTCCAGAGTCACCCTTTTTTCTGGAAGGACATGGTGGACTCTTTGAACATATAAAAAACAGACTCAAAGAAAATGGGCACATGGTTCTCGTGATTGCCGAAGGAGCTGGGCAGGATCTTCTCAGAGAAAGCATGCATGTTGTGGATAAGAAGGATGCTTCTGGAAACAAGCAGCTCCAAGATGTCGGCTTCTGGATATCTCAGAAGATCAAGGTTATTGTTGTTCAAGTCTTTGCTATAATCATCCTACTATAATGTGCTCTTTGTTTGTGGGCTATTTTAGCAATAGGAGGATATAGTCATCCTTCTCAGAAAGTTTACTGCTTCTAGGAGGATATAGTCACAGTCTTCACAATAACACAGATGCTTCAGCATATGTACTTGATTGACTGTATTACTACTAGGCAAGTGCCTCATGCAATTTTTGTTGCAAGTATAGATAATTGAATTTTCTATTACAGTTAAATGCATATTGGGATTATTCTGCTCTGTGATCTCAAACTGGTATGTTACCCAAGTATGATTGATCGTTCATGGCAGATCCTACATATATGATCCGTGCCATTCCAGGCAATGCATCAGACAATATCTACTGCACACTTCTAGCTCACAGCGCGATTCATGGCTCAATGGCAGGTTTCACAGGGTTTACAGTAGGGCCTGTTTAATGCAAGACATGCTTACATACCCTTTTATGTGAGTTTGGTGTTTAGAGTCTTACTTTTCTTGTAGTCTTTCTGCTAGTTTCTTGATCCTAAATGTACAAAAATAAGCTAATTCTTCTGTTGGCAATAATTCGATATATGTAACAGATTTGTGTCACTGTATGGTGTTAATGGTTTCGACTGACCATTTTGCAGCGCATAATAGAGAGACAGAATAAGGTGGTAATAACAGACCGGATGTGGGCAAGGCTCCTATCTTCAACCAACCAACCAACCAAGTTTTTTGGACGCGAAAGATGTTGCTGAATCGAAGAAAGAAAAACCGCCATCATCGCAGTTGTTAAGTGATGATGATGGTGAAAATTTGCATAGAGAAAATCATTCAGGAAAATCTTCTTATTTCTTGTGAAGAAGGGTTTGAAGGGGAGAATTCCTGTAGCAAAGAGAATGTGTCAGAAGGGAAGTCATCCAATAAAGAGAATGAGAAAGGTCATCTGGATAACAGGCTGACAGCAAAACTTGACAGTAGCTAGAAATGTGGATATCTATTTGTAGTTTTCTGTGTTCATGTCTGATTTTCAGTTAATTGCTGTTAACCCATGCGTATTTCGGGTTATCACTTTCTATCTTTAACTTTTCAGATTGCATGTTTGTCGTTTTTACTGTAAAAGTTACTGTGGTTATAAATTTTAGGACATAGCAAATAGGATTAATATTTCCTACACTGACAATGTATATATTGTCAGCATTGAATGAATAACAACTATGCAAAATTGAAATTTAAAATTCAATTTTTGCATGTATGTCATAGATTCAACAGTAATAGTGTATACATTGTCAGTATCAAGCGAAGGAAAAACGTTCATAAAAACATGAGGGAATACAAAGGTGGTGTTTTTTAGATGTTGGTAAATCCTGCATCCCTGAGCCAGGTAGAGACCCCCTTTTAGGTTTGGTACACTATTCTTGAACACTTTTTAACTGGAAGCGGATACTGACTGCAATTTACCAAACATCAGGGACCTCATACATCCTCAGCACCAAGATTCAACATCATCCTTGAACCAAATCCAGCCTCAAAAAGACCACACAGCCTCAATCAACCTCTTTCTTTCCATTCTAAATGCAACCCTCAGAGAAGCTCATTTTCCTTGCCAATCAGAACACAGATCAGAGATGGTATCATTGACATTAAACTCACCATTACTGTACTTTAGATCCCTCTCCTCCGACACACGCCATGCTGGCATCTTGTTTGATCACTGAAACCAGACACTGTGGCCTGTGGCCATGCCCAGAGTGAAATTCCACTTTTGGAAAAATCCACTTTTCGTCTCTAAATTTTGCGTTAGGAACACATTTTGTCCCCAAATTTTTAGATGCACCACATTTAGTACATGAATTAATTATTTTTTGCCATATTTAATCCAAAAACGGTAAATTGCTTAATTTAGATGGAGAAAGTCATGTGTTTGGCACGTGACCGTTAAGTAAAAACAATTTCTCAGTCAAAATCAACAACTATGTCAGTCTTCTCCATCCAAATTGAATATTTTACCGTTTTTGGGCTAAATGTGGTCCAAAATAATTAATTCATGTACTAAATGTGATGCGTCTAAAAATTTGAGGACGAAATGTGTCCCTTAATTCAAAGTTTAAGGATGAAAAGTGGATTTTTCCCTTCCACTTTTCAAGTCCTTGATGTATTTTCCTTTCCTTTCTCTATTGAAAGCTTGTGAAAATCTAAGTACCCTATAGGCATGCAATTAAAAATGATAATGATGATTCTTTCATCATAACAGGATGCACTCCATCACTCATCACAATTTACAACAACTCTTGACCATGGTATGGAATTATATGTCTGGTATCTGGTTTGTAGCCCCCCAATGAAAAGAATGTTACTTTACACCTAAACCAGACAAAAAATTGGTTGCTCTGTTGTGGTACAACTTACAATGCTGAAAAGCCTCTATATTGAAACAAATACAACATGTATCCACCAAGCATCGGAAAAAATAATAGTCCTAAGTGCTGTAACTTGTGGCTACTTCTGACAGAGAGACGTAGAAAAGAAAGAATCATCTCTAATGCCTCTCCATTTCTCTGAAAATATTTGCTACCCTTGGGGATAACCTTGGCAAAAACTTGAATAACTGGAAAAAAAAAAAAAAGGATCAAAGCATCAGAAACACCTTGGCTAAGGAGTCAAAAGGGGGGAAAAATCAAAGCATGAGAAGCGCCTAGGCTAAGAAGTCAAAAAAGGACAAAGACAACAAACAAATTGTTTGCCCCCTTCCCCCCCCCCCCCCTCTCTTCCAGCATAAAGAAGGTTGCCAAAATCTGTATACCTGGGCTTTGTGTTTGGTTTTAACAGTTTTGGAGGTTGGATCATTATAGTAACTTTCCTTTTCCAGCTAAAATGATGTTACACTCATAAAAGTTATGCTTTTCAAGCTACCATGTTACCCCCACCCAAAAGGAAACAGGAAAGGCAATGCAGACTTCAGTACAAGATGAAGAGCATGATCCAATTAGTGAGATCATTTGTTGAGAACAGAATTGTTTAAAAAAAAAAAGCTCTCTGTAGGTACATAGCTTGAACTGTGAAATATGTAATCATATTGTCAAGTAAATCAAAATGCAGAAAAAGGAAAAGAAAAACATGATCAGGCAGAAATCACAAACACATATGGTAAAATGTTTTCCCAACATACAAAAAATTCCATAGATCATATGTTTTAGATAGAAAACGTACCCAGAGCTTCACGCAAGCATCAATAATAACTGGAACTAAACAGACAAAAATGGTAATGGCAGCCTCATCAACCTCAAGACCATAATGCTCAACTATTATCTCACATACAGTCTGCCAACCAGACTCTGAATGATACCTGCAGAGTCAGAAGAGCGAAGCAAGAGCATTAGTAGTTAATAGAATTTTTGTTGCTCAATAAACAAGTCAAATCATATCAAAAGTGCACTAAACATCTAAGATGGTTTTCTTTTTTTTTTTGGAAAATTCTAAGATGGGGTTATTATCCTATCTGAGATAACTAGCCTAAATTCAGCATGTGATCCAACTATGGCGGGACCAACTTCAATGAGAAATCACCACATCAAAATTGAATAATTAATACATTAGAAAACAGAGAATAAAAAATGTTACCCTAGAAATATATCAGTGACAAGTATAATTAGGAAAGCCTTCCCCGTGTCTGTAACATTGTTTAGCATCTTGTAGCCAGTAAATTTCAGCAGAGCTACCTGCAGAAGCAGGCAAAAGTTGGCAAGATGATTGAAAGCGTTCAGTATAATATGGCAAGATGATCGAAAGAGTTCAGTATAATATGCTAATCTTCATATATGGATGCCGCAAGCAGAAAAAGCACAAAATCAAATTATCCTACGGCCTTCCTGACATTAAGTACCCAAACAAGGTCACATCATCCAATTCCATCCATTTTATGTTAGCATTCCATTAATAAAACACGACTTTACACATCATATGTCCATCAAAACATGTTTCTCCATGAAACTATATGAATGTTCTATTGAAAATAAAGTACTGGAAGCAGAAAACTGGAATTACATTATATAGTTGCTCCTATAGTTGTATAAATATAGTTCTATAAATAAACAAACTAAGTCTCTGAAAAGAATAGAAGCCATATATAGTGAAACTAGAGTTGCTAGGAAAAAGGCCTGAAAGAGAAAACAGAAATTCTTAGTGGCTCTAAGGGCAAGAACGTTTAAACATCAAAATATTAGGTGCATAATCACTTGAAAATTGTGAAGCAAGAATGTCCTCAGATTTTTTGTTTTCTTTTGGGCCATGCAGTCATGGTAAGTGGGAAGCTTACTTATTAAACAAAAAAGTGCAAGTATGTTGACTTTTATTTTCAGAATGAAGTTCCTAGGAAATAAAAGAGATGGAAAGGAAGGGAAGCTTTAAGTGCAAAATCACACTAAGTTGTTAATAACATGAAATGGAATTATTAAAATAGGTATTTGAGTATAAAACTCATAGAAAACGATGAGTACTCACTTGACTCTGATTGAAGTACAAAAGAATGAACAATGATACTCCAAAAACAATATCAGACCATATATTGGCAAATGCTCTACGATTCTCTAGCCTCCGCTGATCTCGTAACTCTAACCTGTTACATCACACAAAACATGAAAAGACATTAAATCTCTTAATATGATGTCCTAACTACTATCTATTAACATTTAATTACTGTTACGTGTGAGTTCAAGGTAGAGGTACGTATAATTTGAGTGAACAAATTAAAACTATTTGCAGCTTTCTGTAGTGCAACAATGAGTACTAGTCCAACAACTATGATGCAGTTTTTCCAACAGTGAACAGCAACATGAGATGACCAACAGCAAATGTGGCAGACTAGTTCAAGTTTTAAGTATAGTTCTAATTGACAGCTACAGCCTTGATTAGAGTATGAGAACCCTTTAAACCCATAAAAGCATGAAATTGTTAACTCACCATTAAAAAACAAGAAAATAGTACAGCTGTAACTTTTATTGGTGAACAAATTTCGATCAGATTCTCAACAATTGAAGTCCGTGTTGTGAGATTGATAAACTTTTTTTTTATGTAACTAGACAATTTGGTTTCAATGAAATTGCTAACTACAATGTAGATAACTCTATAAATGAGCCTTGCAATCAATGAATTACTTCATGATTAAAGAAAATCTACAGAAACTATCTCCACATCATTTCTCTGTATATTAAGAGACAAAGAGTAAGTGGGATTTGTATAGTATAGTAGCCAATAACAAGGTAATTACTGTCAATAAACTGCATCATGCACACTCATCTCTGTGGACATCCAATGTTAACTGGCTCCATTTAATTACATGAAATTAATCAGATCATTCCTAAATCAGTGTTATATTAACAGTTTGATTTTCTACTCTTGCAGCATGATTCAAGGCCCGTTAATCGAATGTAATGTGCAGGACAGCCATTAAATCCAAATTCTAACTCATTCAAAAGGTAGAAAGTTGGGAGGAGAAAATCAGAGGGAAATCATAATCGCTCCAATGCCTTGTAGGAGTCTCATCTAGAGAGGGAATTAAATGGAATCCTACCATTTTTTATGCAAATGCTGCAAGGCATTTGTGAAAAATTGTGAGAAGCTGGATTATATAAGCATAGTTTCCTACTTTTTCCTTTTTAGTTCCCTAGGTCTATGTATTTAGGTAATCTCAAGTAAATATTCTGAAAAATCAACCAAAGCTAGACACTGGCATTGTGAGGAGTAACTATATCATGAATACAGCAGGAAGCACTTTTTGTTGTTAAAACATCTCCTGTAACAATTTGGAGAAAGCCACATATTATCTCCAATAGAGTTTTGTAAAGTTGAGACAATCTAAGCTTTTCATTCAATCTTCTCTATACAACCAAACTTCCACTCTTAAGATCCAAATGTTTTCTGTCCCGCTACATAAATTAATTTGTCAACTTAATATCAGAATGACTGAATAAAATCTAAAGCAACAAAATTAACACCACAAATCAGTCTTACGCCTTATGGTGTAATTCCGTCCACAGCTCCTCTTCAGAGAGAGGTGGCGATTTACCAATCTCTACCTCAAGCCTATACCGGGCTTTCTCCAGCTTTATCTCCTGGACCATTTCAAGCTTCTGACTTCTTCTCACATCAAGCATCTGTGCTGCTAATGGTACTGTCTTGACATATCTATTGAAGACATGAAAGTCAA